AGGATCTGAAGGAAGGATGAATAGGTGGAGCACAGAGGAATTTTAGGGTACTGTCCTACTCTATAGGACACCAGAATGATAGACGTATGTATAAACATTTGTCTAAACCCACAAATGTAAAACACCAAGAATGATTACCCTAATGCAAACTGCAGATGTTGGATGATAATGATGTGGCAGTGTAGATTCCTCAGTGGCACCAAATGTCCCACTCTGGTGGGGGATGTTGATAATGGGGGAGGCTAAGAGTGTGTGGGGGTTAGGGGTACATGGGAAATCTCTGTACCCTCCCCTTTGCTGTGAATCTAAAATTGTTCCAAAAATAAAATGTTAATAAAATACATAAATAAATGTCATTTTTAAAGGAAGAAAAAAGTACCCCTCATTATTTACTAATCATTTATTTTTAGCTTGATGTCAGATATGCACATTTTAATCAGAACTGAGTCAGCAGGCTATTAGAATTTTACCCCTCTAATTTCCAAAAACTGCCCATGATATTTTTAATGAACTAGTTCTGTAGAAGGTTCTGTAGTTTAATATGTTTGAGAAAATGTTTTACTCAAACTTACGTTTCTATCTCTTTTCTTCCATTTTGACTTAAATACCTGAGATCCTCAGAGCAGTAAGGATGGAAAAAAACATAATCCAAGTAACAATGAAACTATTACATTGGTTTTATTATCTATTACTTCACTGTTGCCTGAAGCACACTGTCTATTTATTACTTTAAGTCTGCCTGAATTTCTTATCAGCTAATTCTCTGAGTCTTAAATGGTTTAATGCATTGGAAATAGAGATAGTAAAGGATGGTTATTATTTTCTCAGAACCATGCTGTTCTTTTAGAAGCATGCTATGTGATTATGCTTCAGAAAAGAAAAATTAAAAAGCATTCTGCCATTTGGTAAATATACTCCAGTTTGAGAAGGTAGACTATTGTATAGAGTAGTAAAAATACAGCTATTGCTATAATTGAATGCACTGTGAAATCTCCTTCATTCACAACTTTAAAACTTGGAAAGTACTCCAGAGATTATTCTCTGTAATTCGTTTGAGTAATGAATTTTATAAATATGGACTCATTAACCAAAAAATAGTTGGTACGATTTCTCAGAGCAATAAACTACAGCACTTCAAGTGGATAAGCCATTCAAAGAGAGAAAAACATTTAAAAATGACAGTATTTTGCAGATAATTGTTAATTCCGTTTTCCTCAGCCCCAAAATGAATCATTTCCTATGTGTTTTCAAACTTTTTAAAATTAAGCTTAATTTTAATTTATTTGTTTATGATATTATACGAAAATCCATGAGTGCTTTCCAATCCATAGGCACAATGCTGACAATACCTTCCTACTCATGCAGTCTAATCACTGAGTGATTCCAAGGCAGACAGAACAACTCAACTGGTTCCTCCATAACAGTCATGTCTACTCACAGGGATTAGCTAAAAAAAAATATACATATATATATACATATATATGTAAATATATGTGATATATATATTCAACCCATATAGTAGTCTTGTTACTTAAAGTCACAAAATGAAACAGTATGAAAAAAGCTCAAGGTTATAATCAGTCTAAACTAAAAGAGAATCCAACTAAAAGCAGTAATGTATTTTGTTTCCAAGTCAAAGGCTATTCATTACATATCCCAATCCCTCCCTAATCAACAAGACCTACATATTAACACCAACATTTTATGCAGAACAGTTTACCAGTGAGATCTTCATAAAAAACAGGCAAATTGATACCTGAAGAGGCCAGACTATTCGTGAACCATTTTTTAAAAAACAATAGCTGTTTTTTTTTTACATTTCTACCTAAAAATGTGTAGAAAAAAGAAACATGGATTAAACTTGTACTCAACACCCCAACTACCTGAATTTTCAGATGACTAAAATCCAGAAAACTTCTAAAAAGAAAATCAATTTCAAAATAACCCCAAACAAAAGTCTAATATTGTTGGTGCAGGGTTTATGCAAAAATAAAGGGTAAAATATTCAAAAAAGAATACTGTGGTTTGGTTAGAATGAAAAAGTCAGGGGAAAAAACCAAACAAACAAATACCATATGGTGAATAATATAGTAATCTCATCATAATCACTTTCTTTCTTCTAATTTCTGTTCCATGACAAAAGCTCTCTGCTAATTGATATCAAAATATATTATGGCCTAAAAGCATAGCATTGCCAATAAAGGAATTAGAATTCTAAATACAACTGTTCATATTTAATATATACCAATGATAAACTGCCAGAATAGCGAATGTAACAACTGCTGAATGGTGACATTTATATTTACAAGTCATAAGTATAGAGATCAACAGGTTTGTAATTTACAAAGTTTTCAGTTACTCCTATATTCAAAACTACATCAAAGACATGTTCAGTCACATGTGCAGTATTATCTTAAAAAGATAAACGCTGGACAACTGTAAGATGTCATAGGCTAAACATGCTCTGTAAATATTTTGTTCTCAAAATAACTATCTTTCCTATTATATAAATGGCCAGTGTTTTGAGATTTAGACATAATATATACAACTCTATGTGTAAACCTTGATTGATGACATCCTCCTCACAAAAGTAATTAATAATCACATCACATTATTTATCATTCATAAATTTCACTCTTGGGTGAAATTTTTAGTCAAGCACCCAGTCTAAGCTTCCAAAGCATGAAGTCAAAATTTTATCTCTATATCTGTCTGGAAGACAGATCCTTTCATTTACTTGGTTGTACATTATCTATGTTTTTCCATTCCTTTCATAAACTACCTGGGTTTTTTTTCCCTAAAAAAATTCTCACGTAAATGAAGGCACAGAAAGAGTGAAATGGAGAGAGAGACACAGACTCCCTGATTTACTTCTCCGTGATTCTAACCAATAGCTACAGTGAGGTTAAAAGTTTCACGATAGATCTACCTGCTCTCCAAACATCTACAGAGTAATGATGCAAAGCAGAACTGGGTCCATGTACAGTTTCTTCTCATCTGTTCTGTCTAAAATAGGGAGTGGAGGACACAGCGTAACACAAGAAGTATGTGCCCATAGATGCAGAGTTTTGATGGACTACTTACTCCTAATCTAAACCACCTCGCTAAAACAGTAAATATATTTCTGTGCTGATGTAGGTTTCCCAACATCCCCCATCTTAGAAACGTCAACAACTGTAAAGCACAATTCTGCCAAAAGGAACCTGCCCAAATGTGTTCATTTTTTTAAAAATGCCATAATGTTTCAAATGAAAACACAGCTTGCCAAAGATGTTGAATAAAAGGATAACAAAGAAACAAACAGCATCTTTAGACTTGAATTTCAAATGCATAACCTCGCCATCTGTCAACCAGTTGTGAAGCAGTGATCCTAGAGAAGCCCTGCAAACACCAACAAGTTTTGTCCTCGCATCTATCATCTGTATCAATATACACTCTCAGGACCTCAGTAGTAATTACGTTCTGTGTGTGGAGCAACCTACAAGAATGACATTTCCCATTGGCAAACCGAACCCTGCTGATGAATGGGTCATTTTAACAGACTTGCATTTGGTAACAAATGCGGAGTTCAGTTGACAGAGGTAATGGGGAGATGGAGAGAAAGAGGGGGGCTTTTTCCTCACATTTGGATTGGAAATCGGATAGAGGAGGTTAATCTTCAGAGGCCAAACGTCCAAACAACCCCCAGTCTCCTCCCACTTGGCCTCTGAAACCTGATTACAATTTTGGATGTAGACTACATCCTACCCCTTCCCTTCCCACCGGGGCCACCACCTCCGAAGTTAGTGTTAGCTCTCATGCAACTGGGGGTGCAGACTCCTGACCGAGAACCTCACCAGGAACCCATTCAGTAGCGGCACACTGGGCTGGGACTCTGCCTGGGCTCTGCGACGCCACCCGCGGGCTTGCAGGATACCCTACCCCTCCCAACCCCGCCCTCGCCCCCGCCTGGAGCTGCAGCTAGGGTTACGCATCCTCAGCCTTGACACTGCCTCCGCTTCTCTCTATCCCGATCAAGGCTTGTGGGGGTGGGAGGGCAGAAGTGGAATGCGGGTGGCAGGGAGCGAGAAAGAACCAAAACAGTCCTGGTAACCAAGAGCCAGGACGCAACTGGGAAGACCCTGGTGCATGCACACTACACACACACACACACACACACACACCACACACACACACCCACCACCACACACACACCCCCACCACACACACATACACACACACACACACACACACACACACACACACTCACCGACGCGCCCTGTGCCCCAGGTTCTATGCCAACTGGCGACAAGATGGGAGGAAGGAAGGAGGTGGGGTGGCGGGAAGGCCCGGAGTTACTGAGAGCGACGTTCGGAAGAGAGCAGGGGATGCCCCAGGGATTGAGAAAGTGAGAAAGTCCCAGACTCCCTCTATACCCCAGGTCTGGGCTCTCCTGCCTGCAACCATGGGTCGCCTTCCTTCAGTGAGGTTCGGGAAGCGGGGAGAGGAGCTGGAGCCGAGCTTCTCCCAGGCTGCCCTCTCGAGCCTGGCCCGGTGCCCGGAACCTGGCTCCCCCTCAGCCCCGGCCCGGGGAGGCTGCCAGGCAAGGGGCGACTTGCCAAAGGACTCTGGGGGAGCAAGAGGGCAGGAAGGAGCATCTTGCACTCTCCGGCCAGCTGCTGGTTTCTTCCCCTGTCGACACACCCCCAGTTAACCCCCTTCCCCGACACACACACGCACAGATACAGAGACACACGTGTTCACCCCTCCCACCATCCCAGGTCTATCGATTAAAACACTAGTTGATTTCTGACGGAGAAAAAAAAAAGGAGAAGAAAAGAGAAAAAAATAAAGTGCAACAACTCTTCTCAGGAGTCTCCGGAGCAAAGAAAGTCCGTAGGCAGGCGTCTTTCCATAGTTTCCTAGGAGTTAAGAAATCTGGCGGTCCCCAGTGAAAACGAGACCGGGAACCCCGAGGGGTGAAAGGCGACGAACTCCTTCCCCACCCCCGCGCTTCTTACCTCCTTAAGTTCCTTGGCCACGTCCTTCAGGTCGCCCAGGACTAATTCCAGATCCTCCACGATGATCTTGATCTGTTCCTTCACCTTGGTTTTGGAGGCTGCCGGCGGTCCCTCGGCTGGAGAGGACGAGGAGGGGGTCCCCTTGGACTTGGCTGACATTCTTTGGGGCAAGTGAGGCAGGTCAGCACAGGCGGGCGAGCGGAGCCTGCTGCGCGCCCCGGTCCCTGGCGCCGCTGCGGCCGCCCCGATCCCACCACATCTTGGACGCTCCCAGGGCAGCGGCTGCTGGCTGCGCTCGGCGCACGGCCGGGCGGCCGCACTGTGGTGCTGCCATCAACTCCCCGAGACGCGGCGCTCGGCGCGGGGCTGCAGACGGGCGAACAGCGCGCCTGCGCCTCCTCCCGCCGCCGCCCGTCGCTCTCGAGCACACACGCGCTCGGCCCCCGCCCGCGGAGAGGGG